CACTTTTTGTTGTGGTTTTTTTTTTTTTTTTAAATTTTTTTTTTAGGTGCTTTTCTTTAATTGTATTTGTGGATTTGCCTTTTAAATATGCAATTGTGACTACATCCTGAGCCTGAATAAGTTGCCAAGAGCAGAGCTTGATTTGAAAACGGCAGAGTAGTTAAATGGAGCATGTGTAACACCCAGCATTTATTGTTCTTTCATGGGAGTACCTGCAGGTGCTTTGTTCAAGCAGGTGCTCTTTTGCAAAACAACATGGGCTCCTAATAACACTCTATCCCAAAGCTCTGTGCAGACATTAACAATTTAGGTCTCTGAGCAACACATAAGTTGCRTGCACCTTCCTCATATGGCACTAAAACAAAGGTACTGAGGAGCAGTAGGCCAAGATTTTTTTCAGTGAATGTGGATATGCTGCCTTATTGTTAATTTGGCTTCAAACCCCACTTTCAAACGCTGTAGCCTGCTTTCTGGAAGTGCCTGGTCTCTGTGTWTTTTTCTAGAATGGAAAGATCACAACAAAGCCTCAGATCTCATACGGATGTTGGGACCATGCTGGCTGCATGGGCAGGAGTGGGCAGCACTGAGACTGAAAAAAACACCCAGAGCCTGTTTTCCCTTGATCCCTTCTTCCCTTTTGGAATAAAGCAGGCAGCTTTTGGAATAAAGCAGGCAGCAACACCTCACCATGTGTCTCTTTTCGTGCCCTCTGCCTCAGATGCAGGACTATGTGACTGGCAGACTCAGAGAGGTGGGACAAAAGAATGAGAAAACAAAATGTTTGACTGTGGATGACAGGATGCACAACTAGAGCAAAAAAAACCTTCTTGGCAGTATTTTAATTTTGAGTTTTTCACTTGTCCTTCCCACCATCCCTGCAAAATTTTAGATCGGCTTATGGTTTTGATCCAAATCTGAACAAGTGGGCAAAGAGAGCTTAGGATGGGAATTTGTTTGAGGAGTTGRTCTGCAAGGAGGTTGAACCTCACTAAAGACTGTCCAGACCTGGGTGACAACACAGTGTCATGGCTCAAAGCTTGCTTAAAGGTTGTTGCTTTTCAATTGATTGGGCTTTTGAAAAAGGAGGGGGGAAGGGAAGGATGAGGAAGGTGAGCAGAAAAGACAAAATGACACATAAATGAGAAGGAAAAGCCCTTATTTTCCTGAGCTGTTTTGCCTGTGCCTAGCTCTGAGCAATCGTCAGGATGACGGAGAATGACCCGGCTAAAGAGCTACTTCAACATAAAACATATACTGACCTGGAAAAGGATTGGGGAGTGTGGGTAAAACTCGTTCTAAGGGGGGAAAAAAAACCAATAAGCAACATGCAGGAGAAAAGGACAAGCCACTTTTCACACCAAGCAAGCAGCAGATACAAACCTGATGGAGTTGTCCATCCCCAAATTAAATGGACTAGAGTAGGTTTCATATACAGAGCATTTTGCAAGCAACATGCCTAACACACATCAACATCCCCTGGGTATGGGAGTAGGAGWGAAGTAATTTGAAAAACTAAACAAATAATAGCCAAACAGCAAGGGGGCTTAAGCACCTGCAGTGAAGGTAATTGGAGTTGATGGGCCATATCTTCCCTCTGACTTTCAAGACCACTCATGTCATCACTCTACAGCTCCTCTTGTCAGACACCTCTGTCTGGAAGCTAGTCTTGGCAGAGAGGTGTGTTGTGGAATTCCTCCATGGGYAGTTGCTGCCCCCTGAGAACTTTCTCAATAATGGATTTCTTGCCAATGACAGGTCCCTGAGGATCTGTGCATGGGAGCAGTCACCCTGGTGAATCCTCGAAGGCACTGTGCTTCTTTAGGGTTTTTTTTACTCTGAGAGGAACAGTTTTTGCAGACTCATCATCTTCCAGTTGCAGGCAGAGCCTGCTGTCTTGTTTATAGGGTTTTTACAATGTCCTCATTCACATCACACAGGACTTTGATATACATCACTGCCAGCTTCATGGTTTGCTTCTTCCACAAAAGGATCCCAAAAGAATTGCACTGACCCTGAGGGAAACCAGTATCAAAGCCGTCTGATAGTCTGAGGCTAACAGTGGTGTTAATTCTGCTTCACAGAGGGTGCAGGTGATGCACAGAGCAAGGAAGCAGTTTGCCCAAGGTCAAASGCTGAGGTGTTGGCAGAAAACAAAGAGCACAAGGTCCCCAGGCTTGGCCATTCTCAGTGKGGCTCCTTTCATTGCCTCCAGAGCTTACTGGGTGCCTTGTACTGGCTGAGACAAGTTCCTACTCACTGATCCATCAGGAGAACACTCAGCTGCAACAGCAGGTAGGACTGGGGCACTGAGCTGTCTCCTGGCTTACCTGCTGAGATCACTGCTGATGGACACAGAGCTTGCCAGGATAAATCAGTTCTCTGATCGCCTAGGCCCACCTATTTGGAGGCTAACGCTCTTTCTACAGTATCCTTGGTGCAAAGGCTGAGTTTCTGTCTCACTGAAGCTCATGAGGATTGAGCAGGTCAAGCCCATCCATGTGACACTGGCAGAACTCTGCCCTCACAGTGGTAACAGAGCTGTTTGAATCCACAGCAGGCACAGGGGAGATCAAATACAAGTCTAGCCTGGATCTCTGTGTTTATGTAGCAACAGGGGACTATTGTTCTGCGAAAGCAGGCTGTTTGTGCTGACAAGACTGCCTTGTTATTTAGTTTGGTTAAATAACTCAACTCCCCTTTACCTTCTTCCTGCACAGCAGGCTGCAGGCTGCACAGCACAAGCAGTTAAAGCAAAGCACTACGGCCTCATTATCATGCTGCTTTCTATTCAAGGACTCTATCTCTGTTCCTCTCTCCCACTGTGAGCTGCTTTTATTGCTCCACCCAGGCTCATTAGCAGTGTCTCAGCCTTGCCCCCTCTGACTGTCAGCCCAAACCACTTTTGTGTCTCCTGAGTCTCCCKGTTACTGACAGCCCTGGGGATAACGTGGGGTGGGCACCAAGAGCCACCAAGAGGAATTSTGGCCACAACAGTCAGGGTTCCAAAGCCCAGCAGCCACCACCGTAACCAAATGCTTGGGCACAGCAAACCATGGGATGGAGGGATGTCACCTGTGACAGAACACTAACAAATAATGCCAAGTTAGAGACTAATGACACTCTTAGGAACGTGCCTCGCTGTAACCAGAACTTCTGGGCTCCACCTGACACTTCTCAAGTTGGCACAGTCTTGCCAGCTTCTGCTTCCCCTCCGCGTTTGCTGATTCCCCTAAGGGAATGCAGCAGGGGACCTGCTGATGTGGCAATCTCCTATAACTGAGCCAGCAGGACTGCATCAGAGTGTGCAGCACTGTGCTGTTGTCTCCTCTTTCAGCCTATGGGRTGGGCTAGCTTGGCAGGAGGCAGAAGGCAACTAATTTGGAAAAGCTTTTCTTTCTCTCCTCTGCTTTGTTAGAATGCACCAAGTGCTGCAGCTGCTCCTGTGGGCCTGGGGAGGGGTGTGTGGGCTTGCCTATRCATCACACAGGTGTATGGCTATGTGTGCACACTCACCTACACATAAATCTATGTATCTGTGTTCCTCCAGCAAGTGTCTATCTGCTCTGTGTGTGTATTTACATATATATATATATATGTATATAARCATATACACCTCTYTGTAGCATGGCTTAAGATACAWATTGTGACTTTCWCTCSTRATGCTTTYCATAGAACTTTCTTAGATGACYAAAAYAAATAAAACCCCCATGTTCCCTACCTCCTACTACACTTGGAGGAAGAAGCCTTTCCCTTCAGCTGTGCAGCCACTTTTCACCTCTGTTGCTCTATGACGRCAGCCCTGGTTCTGCCTCTCTGTCAGGTAATTTTCAGAGATGTGTGTTGCTGCCCCTTTCTTTGTGCTTAGGGGTTACAAACCTTGCTCCCAGGCTCTGGAGAGCTGAATCAACCTACTGGTCCACCAATGCTGCCAAACACTGGCCTGCCTCCCAACTCCTCATACCCACAGATGTGTGACAGAGCTTCCTCTCCTGCATGGGCTTTGGTGCCTGTTGAGCCCGGCCATGAATTGATTCAGCTCAGTAATTCAAAAGAAAACATTTGGGGGCATTTTGGGGAGATGAGCARTAAAGCTCAGTTACCTATTCACTGGTTTGGTACGTTGACCTGGCTTGCTGGGTTGTGCACTGAGTGACAGAACAAGTGAAACAACAAAACCGTGTGGCAGAGAGCAGGATGAGCAAAAGGACTAGGGAGGAAGAGATGTCACCAAGCTATTATATCAGTTACATCATCAAACTGTACCTGAGTACCCTCTCTACAAACACATTCCATATTTGCTGTTGGAGACAATTTCCTGAGTAAGTTAAAGCTTTGGTATGGCCATATTTAAATTGTTGWAAACTCAGTCTCCAAGAGTGAAGGGTATAAATCTCCTCACCTACAGCAGGCAATCCTGCTGCTACATCCTTTAAGGAAGATCACTAGCTATCTATTCGCACAGCTCAAGGGAGCTACTTTTGTATTTTAATGCATCTTCTATCTGTGACATTGACATGTGAGGCACTCAGCCTCTCTGAGAGTTTCTCAGTGCTCACTGAGATTTCATGAAATGGTAGCCACCAATTTTTCTCTATTGCTAAACTGCTCCTTCACATCATTTGGCTCGCTCCCTGTCTGCCCTCCACCTCAGGCAAAGCTGCCAGTACCTCATTATTAACTCTCTGGTTGTTTCTTCACTCCTTGCTGCCATTCTTTTTTTGTGCTGCAATGGGACACTGAGGAACCATCGCTGTACTTACCTCCCCAGTGGGATGCTGCCCTACAGTGAGCTTGTTCTCTATTTAAAAAGAAAATAAAATCTCTGATTCCAAGGATGAAAAACACTCCCAAGTATTTGAGTATCTGCTGTACCTTGCAAAAACTTGGCACTGCTTTATTTTTCTGTCTGGGTGTGTGGCTGGGAATGTGCATTACCTGTTATTTCAGCTATTGTGTGATCACYACAGCATTTCTTTCATCTGGGCTTGTAGGTTTTTGCAGCTGCTTTCTTTATGAAGCTGGAGTCCCTTCACTCATTTCCCCCCTGATTTCATTAACCTTCAAAATATCAGCTGTAGACCACCTGAATTTATTTTTTTCTCTCTCTTCCTGTCTTCCACATTAACTAGAAGAACAGAGATTTCCTGATACAAGATGAAGCAATTGCACACTGAAAAGGTAGAGATTAACCAAGCAACAAAAAACAAATTAGAAAGAGTTCACTGAAAATCATCCAATCTCTCTCAGCTCCCACACCTCCATTCTCCTGGCTCTTGTGAAGTTCTCTAGTGTTCTCCAGTATAAACAGGCCTTGGATTTCTAAAAAAATTATAAACAAAATCCAATAACTTGAAAGAAGGAAAGTGTTCTTCATCAAAAGGGGGCTAAAATAGCATCTTCTCTCTTGCAAGTCATCTTTAAAGTTGCTATATTTCCTCCTGGAACAGTAAACAGCAACTTTGCCAGGTTTTCCTGGGTCTCTCACAGGTTCTGCCACTCATTTTATGACCATGGGTAAACCACTTCTTCACTCTGTAACTTAACTTCCTACTGCAAAAGGGTGCTAACAACACACCCATTTCTAAATGACTTGTGATATTAAAATATTCATTGCTAGCAAATCCTTTGAGATCCTTTGAGGTGAAGTTCTGAAGTCATGCAAAATGCTTCTCTAGCAAAACTAACCCCCCAGCTAAAATCATATGTGCATATATACATTATTGAAYTTCATCTTATATTTTGTTTCAGTGATGCATTTCAGTTCATTGGTGTAACAGGAACCAACAGAGAGGGCCAAATTTAGAATTCAGTCAGAAATAATGGATTCTAAACTTAGAATTATATTAATATCAGCAAGAACAAATCTGGAGTATTTGAAAATTGTGTTCCAGATTGCTGCCTGAGGATTTTTTTTGCATCTCATGACAGTCACAAGACCAGGGTGAAAAGACTTTGAAAGTAGAAATTTGCTTGGTGTGCTGCAATGCTACAGGAAATCAAATACATGTTCTTTTATGATAATATCTGTTCTTCAGAAAATAWCTGCCACAAAATATACCCAAATCTGCAAAAATTCAAACTGCCACGAAATAAATCCAAAGGTGGTAAACAAAGAATGCCAATGGATTTATCCTTTTGCACTACATGTGTTAAAAACAACCAAACCAAAACTTTGTTTTTTTTGGTGGTTTGATTAATCTGATCACACAAAACAGAAACTAAACTAAACTGCATCCTTGCTAATACTTACTGCTTTACACAGCRTATTTTTTTTTCTGTTTAGAAGGACATGCAGGTCATGGCATGAGTGTTTTAATTCAATTTGGGACCGTCAGAGGAACACTGCCATCAGTCACTTTGTGTCTACCTGTCCATTTCTGTGAGTGGGATATTTTTGCTGCAGTCTATCTCTGATGCCAATAACATGTGGTCCAAGTCCAGCCCAAGTTTTGGACCTGGAATTGGGAACTGCATTTTGAATACCCTGCAGTTTTTATGTGTGTGTGGATGGAAGGTGAGGGGCAGGGACTCTGTTAAGGGTCAGGTTTGAATCAGCTGCAAAATTCACAACCAGCAGGTAACACTGCTCTAGAGCTTGGTCTAGTCCCAGCTTCTGTCTGTTTACACTTGCTAAGACAAACTCAGTAATTGAAAGGTAGCAGAATGAGAGCCAAGGAATCTTATCCCATGTTTCATCTGTTGATTACCTTTTCCCCCATGCTCCCTATGGTGTRCCCCTTTAAAATCATTCTGTCTTTTCTCATTTCTGTCCCTTCCAGTCCCAAACCAATTTCTCTTTTTCTTGACTCTGTCTTGTTCTCCTCAGGCTCRGTGGCTAGTTCTCTCCATCTCTCTGAATTACTTGTCATTTCTCAGCTGTCATGGATCCTCCGAGCCCTGGCCTTCTGTCTACTTATTAAAGGGGCTGTCATTCTAAAGGGTTTTTTGTCTCCAGCTTTAAAACAAACACTTYTTTATTATTTCAACAAAACCTGTCATCGGCAAAGCCAGTCAATCAAAGGGCCTGACTGTAAAGCTTTTGATTTGGCCGTGTTTGTGTTTGATGGCAAGTATGAACCACAGGTATCCAAAGCAGAGTGCTGAAAGCCAGGTCATGGCTGGAACTTCGAGGGGATTAGGYTGTCAAGTAGAGCCTTCCTGATTTTTAGCCACCATGTGCTTCCTGTGCAGCTGTGTCTTTGCCAGAGCCTCCCTTCACCCTCTCCCATACTCACTGTAAAGGTATAGGCTGGCATTTGTGACTCCCAGCTTGTTGGCAGCCACGCAGGTGTAGTTCCCGTAGTGTTCCTCAGTGACATTGGCCACCATCAGCAGAGACTGGCTCCCCGTGCTCTTTATCTCCAGGCCATTGGCGCTGTTTATCCTGGGAAGAGAGGAGGAGAGGTGCACAGGGCAATGGCAGCTGTGTGTTGGGAAGGAAATCCCTCCCCAGCACTCTGAAAACCAAAATCACTCAGCCCAGCTGGCASGTGAGCATAGAGGGAAGAAAGAAGGAGATGGGAGAGGAAAGGGACCAAAGAAGGCATGGATGGAAACCAGGAGGGAATTAAAGGAATGCAGGAGTTCAGTGGGATGAAATGCCTCTAGTAAAATTGTGGAAAACCAAGGAAAGGCAAGGAAAAGGGAGGAAGCATTTACCCAGAACTGGAAATGAACACACCATGGCAGCTGAAGGCCAGACTGTACTTGAACAAAATATTCTTATATGTGAAACACACCAACCAATCCTGACCCGGGGCATCCTGTTCAGGGCTGGYGACCTTAAAATGTAGGGTAATAACAAAAGCTTCTTCATGCCAGGTAAATGCTCAGGTAGAAAGGACAGATCCTTGTTCTCTTCTCACTTACTCTCATATGCAACTCTGAGATGCTCAGGTTACACAGGGGGGGGGAGTCTCATATCTCAGCACCTTCTTCCSCTGGAAGAATGCACCTTGACCCAACTGAAGACTAACACTACCAACTTTTTGGTCTATACCATGGGCTACTTAACACACGAACATTGTATTAATTATGGATTGGCTCATAATTGACTTCAAAGCAAGAGCTCCATCCATCAGCATCTCTGGCACAGAAAGGAATTCCCTCCTCCAGCTGTGACCACGCTGGCTCTGCCGAGCCTGGTGGGACATTGTGACTCAAATGGATTATTATATTGTTTGAGAGGAGTTGGGGAGGATGATAGGAGCCTAGGAGACTGGAAAAGAGAGGAGGGAARGGTGAGCTGGAGGCCTTACCTGGTGTCATCTCTGTACCACTCGAAGTCGGGCGTGGGCACTGCCGATGCCTCGCACCGCAGCAAGGCTTGTCGTCCCGTGGCTGCTTCATTGCTCTTGGACTCTGTGATGGTGGGAGGGTCTGCACGAAGGAAACGTGGTCAGTTCACACTTCCAGGCACAACAAAATCACAAAACTATGTCAAAACAGCTGCTTGCTGTGGCCCCTGTCCCCCCTGCTCTCTGCAGGACACTGTTTTTTGAACTCTCCTTCATGTACACCGTTAGCAGCGCTCCTTACGTSTGCTGCTCTTCAGCACTGCTCACTAAATTCTGTCATAAATGCATAGGCATACACAGGCAGAGTTAAGGTTAATGATGGAATTCTGCAATTTATGAATATTTACCTATGGATCTCTAGTTCACAGAGGTTTATCAGAGAGAAGAAAATGAGAGAAAGACTTYATCAAGGGTAAAGGAAGACAGCAAAAGTAAAGGAATAAAGAAGGAATTTAACACTTGCATGAAAATTATTTTCCATACAAACTCTTTGTCTAATGCCAAAACTATAATAAGAAAGGACTGAGGCAACATGCATGAAACAGAAATACATTCATGGCATAAAAGAGAAAAGCTTTAGCAGAAGCTCTGGGTGCAACGCTGAGAGACAGACAACTTGTTGAGACACTTCCCTTACGTGTCCAAGGTTAGAGATCCCAATTAAACCTTCCTGGACATCATGCTTTCTGATAAGCTCCAGAAGGGCTGGTTTGTCAGTGTTCCCACCTCTGCTTTCTCTGAAGTCTAAGCATTGTGTCATGGGCRTACCAAACTTGGAAAATACTGTCTGTGTGCTCTGCTGAAGCTTGGTCTCAGTACTGGCTGGATAGCAGCKAGGGTAGGCACCAGCATCTTCAATCCCAGCCCCATGTTCAAAATATTAAGTGATAAGCTTTACATGTTAAAAGGCAGAATTATTTCCACCTGGCTGCTGAGAGGGATCAAGGAATAAGTGCCTTGTCTCTCATCACTAATACCTGCATGCCCTGAGATTACAGGGCTGCGACTCAGACACACACTTTGCTGAGACTCAAGTTACCATGAAACACACTCTGCCATCTGTATCTGTACCAGAACTGAAAGGCAAAAAAAAAAAAAGAAGCAAAACGGATTGTGTCAGTCAAAGGAAAAAAAAATTCTGTCTGGAGAATGCAAGGAAAGAAATTTGTTTGTGAACACATTAGCCATCTCGGTATGATCCCTTCCCTGACCTTAATCGGGATTTTATGCAGGGCTTTAGGGATATTGCAGTGCGCCCTCTAACATAATAAATATTAATAAGTGTACATAAATAGGATCCTACATTCAAAGGCTGTGGGTTCACGTAAATATTTTAACTTGAAAAGGAGGAGGGATAATAAAGGGATAGCAAAGGTGAATTTTTAACCATTCTCACTTTATTTTTTGGTTTGAGCAGTATATCTTCTTGCTGTCTACAGTGAGACAAACCTTTCCATTTAAGAGGGAAGTCATAGAATGAATAGGCACCTTTCTACAGGTCTGGAAAATTATGCCAGCAGCATAACTTCCCCAGTCTGCTGCCAGGAAGCCCAGCCCCTTGCTCTGAGCTGTCCCTTAAAAAAAGTTGGTGCAGTGCTGTCCTGGGAGAAGCAGCAGCTGGTAGTCCCAAATAAAACCAGCCTGTTGCACCAAGAAAGCAGCTGCTCTGTGTGTAGCCATTTGCTCCCTGGGAAAGCCAGGAGTGGGTTCCCTTTAGCTGTTTTCATCCCACTCTCCCCAGGCCTCAGTTTCCCTGTGATGGGCAATTACTTGGGAAGCCTGAAGGTGGTAGTGTGAGACCAAAGCAAAGCAAAGATGCTTTCTCCCGCAGTCCAAGCAGGTGATAAGAGATGGCCWGGAAGCTCCTGCGGTTGGGCAGGCCCCATTTTTCAAACTTACTGTGGCTTTCCCACTTTCTGCTGCTTGTGGTGGTGTTTAAAAAAGCAGGATGAAGGAAGATGTATGCAAATATCTGGTTTTCATTCGCCAAATAGGACTGATTTTTTTCCTGCGTGGTCCTCATGATATCTTAATTTATTTCCCTTTCTTTCAAAAGAAAAGATCTGTTCTTAAGGAATTTTAAGTTGCTTACACTACAAATTACACCACATATTAATATTACAATACTCCATCACATCACTTTTTCATATATTCCAACAGTTAAAATGTTTAAGATCCTACTGTGGCATAGTTATTATGTGTTGAAACTAAATCAAAATCAAACATTCTGACTTTATACAAACAATCTGTTTCAAACACATTAAAGCACTATTGAAATTATGTTTCACAGAAATATTTGAAACTATTAATTGGTTCTCATGGAATGTCTCCAGTTTATAAACTCAGCTGTTTTTGATATTTCTATACTTTCAGTGCAGAAACTCTGCTGCTACAGTTCATATTCATGCCAAATTTGGCCCATGAAGCAGCTGATATTAAGCCACTTCCACCCACTTTCTGAGGGAACTATAAAAAACTGTGGATTCAGAAGATGCTGAAGGGAGCCTATAACCTCGACTTCTAAGCAAGACAGAAAAGTTGATGTGATATGATGTGATGTGATGGCCCACAAGGGCCAAGGGAAAGAAACAAAGAGCAAGGATGGTATTAAAAGCTACTATAATCACCTACTGTCAAATTAAGACTGCTATGGGCTGAACACTTGCTGCCATCAGCTTTCTGCCCTAACCTGCTCCCCAACAGTTGTGCCTGTGAATCAAGGCATGAATATGCACCCAGAAATATGACTGTAGCCAGCTCCCATTTCAATTTAAGTTCATATTCTGGTGTTTAAACTGAAGAAGATCGGGAGAGGATAGAGCTCCTATTCATCCATCCTTGCTGCAAAGTTATTATCCTCTGAGCAAGGAAGCAGAGGTACATGGGGAGGGCTCACTTCACATCACTCAAATGCCAGATATAAACCCTACAAGAACAGAGGTGGATGTATGCACGTGTAGGATTAGAGAGTAACGTCAGTTTTAAATATCTTGTGTTGCTGTCAGAGGAACATGCCAGCAGTGTGGAATAGACATGTGGGATGGGATCCATGCCCCACTCCACAGGTATGGATGTAAGCCACAGCTAACCATGCCTCCCGGTGCTTTTAAGGGGATTGTGGTATCCTTTGGTCAAGCCCTTTCTGTATTATGTTGGTGCATGGAGGGTCTCTTAGGCAGAGCTTTAAACTAATGACCTGCAACCAGCCTGAAAGTGAAGTTTTTGTACCCTGTCAACACGTGCCTCCAGCGCGTGTCCCCTGGCTGTGACAGCGGTGTGGCACTGCTGGATGGCTGTGGGTGCAGGCAGGCGTGTGTTTGCTCAGAGCCAGCTGAACCCTCCCTTATCTCTCCTCGCTGCCTTGGTGAAGCTTCTCTTCACGCTGCTGTTCACCCGAATATCAATGAGTGAAAACAAGGCAGCATTTCGGAGGGGCAAACTCACAGCTCTTCTTTCCGTCTCCCTCTCCGTGTCACACCTCCCCCAGCCTTTTCTTATGTATTGCCAGGTTTAAAGCACAAACTGTACCCTGTGGCAAGTATCTGATTGCAGATAGTTTTCTCAGCGCCCTCCCTTTCAGATTGTATAATCCAAACCCAGAAAKGCTTCTCAGTTTATCCTGAAGTCACCCGTGCCTGTGGGCAGAGCTGTCCCCGTGTCCCTTCCCCARCTGCAATGTACTCACAGTTCACAGTGACCCGGACTTGCTTGACATCTGCTGAGGCAACTTCGTTGGCAGCTTTGCACTCGTACTTGCCCGACTGCTCTCGTGTKATCCCCAGGATCTCCAGGTACTCCTCCTCACCTTCAAACTCTCTGCCTGGTGGGACAGAAAAAAATGGTTCTGTTAGGCTTTCAGATTTGGGAAGTTGCTATGGAGGAACTATCACAACATGGATTCTGCAGACAAGCAGCAGTCATGAGTGATTTAAAAGTGATTTCAGAAGCTGTATCAGCAAGGTACCAGTATTTTATTTAATTGTGGAAAACTGAAAATCTGTACAGGTGGTRCAGTACATCGCATCTCACAGGCTGCCCAGACCAAGCAGCAAAATCTCCACCACATGAGATCAGACTGAGTTCACCAGTGTGATGGCTGAGCACCACCAAAGGTTAGTCACACTGACTGCTGTGCTGGTTCAGGGCTGGCTGGCTCCTCAGACGTGCTGGTGTGTTGTCAGCACCCTTTTCTCCACTGTGTAACCGTGAAAAATGTCTTTCTGACTCTCAGAGCAATCACCACCCTGAAGTGCCATCGATCAGATCAAGCTACTGTTAAACACGGCCAAACTGAGAGAAACAAACTGCAATTTGATCTGCAGAGACCAATAATCATCATCACACATCCCTGCTCTACTTGTACATATGAAATGGCACATTTAAACCCTGCTGCCTCACTTCCACACTTTGGAAAACAGTGACTTGTGTGTCAGTCAGGGCTATGGATGGGGGCAGGAATCAGGGGAGGTCTCTGGCCTCGCTTTTAATTCACTGTCTGACCTTGAGAGAGTCACTCCTTCACTCTCTSTCTGTGAACTGCAGCAAATAGCACCCCTCTCTCCCTTCACCTTCTGGCTGGAGCAGGGCAGTGAGGTTAACTCATGTAAAACACATCAGATTCGCTGGATGAAAGTTGCCAGGGAAGAATAAAATATTAGGATTGGTGTATCTACTCTATTCCTTCAGAAGGCAAAGAAAGGCACCTCCTGGGAAGAATCTGAACCACATTTCCTCCACAAGAAACAACATGAGAAACCCCAAGCCCTAGTTGTGTCCCTGTGGATGTTTAGAGAAAACATCCCCCAACTGTCAAAAGAGTAAAAACCAGATTTGGAAAAAAAAAAAAAAAAAAAAAAAAAAAAAAAAAAAGGTCAGCTCACAAGCACTCCCATTTAGGAGCTCCTCAGAGAGCAGTCATATTTTCCAAAAAACTCTCTGCCCAGAAGATATTTTCTGCTCAACAGGTGCCAAGCACATCTGAAGCCCTGCCCGCTTCACAAAAGTGCTTACAGCTTTCAGAGGGAGTTCAGATAGTGCCTACTGTTCCCCTTGGCTTACTGCATGAAGGCAGTGAGTAAGTCTGGTCTCTGGAGCTGAGCTTCCCATGGAGCTGAACTTCCCATGGAGCCATCTGCAGCAAATCACACCCCAGAGGCACAGATTTGCTGCAGTGTGTTGGCCAGATCARCCTGGCCACGCACACAGGTGATGCCAGCTGTGTGCAATTCCCTTCTGCATCAGAGAGGGACTTTGGAAACTTCAAAATCTGCTCAGAACCCTGTCCTGCACGTAATTATTTTTGTCCTTTTTTATTTTTCTTTTTCCACAGGCAATTTTCAGAATCATTCTAGGGGAAAACTGCCCCCCGTCACGGAGACTCAGCATGAAAACAGCAGTGTATCTATTAAACTCSTGTAAAGACAAGGCTCCCCCTCTCTTTCAGCAGGGCTAATCAGCAGTCCCTTTTTCCAGCTCCTGCCAGATGTTCAGGTAGTGGAAATCTTGTTGCTATGTCTAAAATTTACAGCTGCTTTGGTTTTGGCATCCCCTAACAGTTTGTTGTGGGATCTTCCTGCACGGGGGCTGATGCTGGGGAGAGTCAGCATAGAACGAAGSAGGGTGGGATTTTCACAGGTGTTTTTCACTGCTGGAACTCATGAATATGTTAGAGCATCCTAAACCCTGTAGGACCAGAGTTAGGTGAGTCACAGAACTGTGGAAGGGATTTCAGTCACCATCTAATCTGTCCCCCAGTCTCAAGGCAGGGACACAGCCCACCCTCTGCCCTCCATTGGCACAGATTCTGCAGCCACTCCTGACAATCTGCTCCTGAGCTTTGCTGTCCTTACCACTGGAGCAGTTTCGCTGAGGTTTGACCTGAGTCTCCCTTGCTGCAATTTCAAGCTATTACTTTTGTCTTAGCCACTACAGACAAAAAGAACAAATCATTCCCTCCTTCCCTGCAATAGCCTTTTATCAACTTTTAAATCACTTATGTTCCTCCCTCAGTTGTCATCTTTTTTTTTTTTTTTTTTTTCTTTTTGCTGAACATTGCCAGGGTCTTTCAACCTTCCTCTGTAGGTGAGGTTTTTTTAGGCTCTTGATCATTCTTGTTCTTTGCTTTTAGACCTCTCTGACAAGTTCACATTTTTCTGGAAGTGTGATACCCCAAACTGAATGCAGCATTCCAAATGAAGTGTTACCAGGGCTGAACACAGATGAAGGATTGCATTGCCACCACTGCACCGTGCTGCTGTCTGCTGTTTCTGGTTTTGCTACTGCAGGGATCATTTCTGTTTGGGAACTCTCTTCATTTCCAGATCTTCTTATGACATATTGCTACCTGCTAATAAAGCACTTTAAAAATCCCAGCCCCAAACTAAGCTGACAACCAACACTCCCCTCCTTTCACAGCAGCRCTCCCAGTTGGTAGGTCAGTCAGTTGACTGGAAAGTTAATCAGACATCAGGGAAAGACTCACAAAGAAAAGGTTAAAACATAATTTGCCTCTGYTTTGCAAATAATTTGCTCTGTAATTCTGCCTTGTTTATACACAGAGTTCATTCCAAGTGGGRCTTGCTTCTTCTGCAATTTGCCCTTGTCACAAGACTGTCACCGTAATGAAAACAGGGTTGAGGGTGACTTAACCAGCTCTAATGGAGTGACACCCTCATTAAAGGTGCTGTTAAGTCTGTCTGTTAGAGAACCACATCAGTGGAGCTCCAGAGTAACCTGAAAGGGTAGATACTTTCCCAAGGGAAGATGTTTTTGAGCTTCTCCCCGGCATACATACATGCAGTTAAAGTGCACCATGTCCAGCAGGAGAGCTTTCATAGCTACACAGAACCCTGCCCAAGCCATGACGAGCTGCTGGCTTGCCCAGTGGAGTGCCCTGGAAATAAGTGAAAGGYGGGACTTCTGTTCTAAAGGGCATGTCAAAGACATCAATAATCCTATTCAGCTCCTCGTTCCCCTGCTCCAGGACACAGATATAAGCATAACACTTCAGGGAAAGTTTCTGTGATGCTCTCTTGCTGAATAAGTGGCAGCACTGTTCTTGTCCCTGCACTGGTGACCCTGAGCATCAACATTTTGCTGCAAGAACCGAGCTGCTCTCACTTTCAAGACAGACCCTTTCACTTGTTGCCTTGTCCCCTCTAAGAGCACATTAACCATTTCTAACAAAAAGCATTTATATGAAATTGAGGTGTTGTAGTACAGATCAGGGAGAGGAAAGATGTATCACAGTGTGTTAGAGAAATGTCAGGTTGTGATATCTTGTGGAGAGCTGTAGAGATGTTTTCACTAATTCACTCTGGCAGCCAGATTAGGTGAGTCATATTAACTCTAACCTCTAAGGCAAACAGGGGGTGGGGGGAGCAGCAGCAGAGCTTTATACATCCAGTGAATTTACAAATGTTTCTGCACAGGAGCTGGCTTTGGCAGGGAGCTGATGGTTGTCACTATGCAGTTTATCAAAGCGGGAGGGASAAGGCTTGGACAATGCTTTTGGTACAAACAACAATGAACATATTCTATTAGGTGAAGGAGGGACTGCCAGCTCCTGGCAAGCAAGCCACCCCATTCCCATTACGAGAAGACATTTGCCTTGAGCAGATYATCAAGGGATGAAATTCTGACCCTACTGCCAAAGCTTCCTCGCTGGCAAGGGTTGTATTCTGCCTGGCTCAACACAGCCCTTTCCCAGTGAGGAGCCTTKCAGGTTTCCCTAGGGGGATGACTTCTCATCCCAAACCATCCCCTCGCATGACTTGAGGCAACCTGCTTCCCTGCAGGATTTTCTGCCTTCCACATGTTCCAGTTAGCTTGGTTTGTTGCTACAGCCCCACTAAACACCATCTTGCCAAGCTGTAGCTCCTTAACTGTGTCCCAGTAAATCAGAAAGAGGAGCTTTCTGCTCTGGAGGCTGGAGATAGAGCACGAGCCTGGGAGGTTTGACAATCAAACCAAGAGGGAACGACCTCGAGCGGCTGCTGCTGCTGCTKGGAGCTGGCAGAGCCTTTTTAGCARAGGGATCTGCGGCAGCAGCTTTGATGTGTGCAGGAGGAAGGCTTTGAAGGCCTGCTTGCCTCAGCCACATTTCCTATCCCCTGGCTTCCTAATTGGACCCAGTAAATAATGAACCTGAGCAGCAAATCTGCACGGCTATGCCAGCCTGCTGGCAAGCAGCCCTTCTCTTCCCCTACCCCACTGGAAATAGCCTTTTACAACCCCTTTGGCTCTGCAGGTTGTCCTTGTGGGTGTGCACACCTGCCTTGCTTTCATATAGATACAATATATATATATATACACATATATATAATATGCTGTATTTTATATACTATGCATATTATTTATTTTTACATCAATAAATCTGCCTGTGTGTGAAGAAACACAGACTGACATGTTCCCCWGGCAGTTATGGACCCTTTTCACCTCTGCCCGAGCAGCCCCTTGCACCGCCACACACCRCCACTCTTTCCACAAAGGCTAAATGCTTCCTTTCTACAAATGACACACACATCCAGACAAAATCCCACTTGTACTGTGTGCAGAAAGCTCTTTCAGGTAGTCGGGGCCAGCAATGCATTCAGTCACGTGCTCTGCCAGAGAGGCCTTTCCCTTCATGCCCTAGTTTCTTACATCTCCAAAGGGAAAGCTGATCTCCAGAGGTGGCAGCCACATTTTGTTTCATCTGCTCTCCTGTCTGTGCATCCAACCCTGGGCTTCTTCTTGAGCAGAGATTACTTTAGGTCTCTTATTTTTTTTTTAACACTGTAGTGGTCTTAAATTAAACTGAAATTCAGATCTGCTCRAGGT